CCGCACGCGACACGCAAGCCACTTCCGGAAATTGCATTTTCTTGGTTTTCATCTCTAGTCGAATGGTTTTTGCTTACGTACGATGATATTTGGCCACCGGAAATGGCTAAGCTGAAAGTTGAGGTGATGCTTTCTTGTATGAGCGTTTTATGCTCCGATGGGCGCAAATCCGCAGTAAAATCCGTCGTCACGATTTTATAAATAAACTATGGAAGAGCCGTCAGAACTTTTTAATACCAATTTACTCGGCTCGAAAAAAAAACTAAAGTGCACATAAACTTCGACTTCTCAGTAATTTTCCTCTCAAACGCATGCGGTCAAAGAGCTTTTTACATATTACAAAATCACTAAGCAGTTTTGTGTAAAGACGATTTCTTAGTTATAGGTCAATCTTACCGCTGTATTTCCACAAAATAATAATAGGGTTTTGCTCTTGCAGGTGCAGGACAAGTACTGGGTGCTCAAAAATTTCGAAAACAATTTCGCAAATTGTCGCGTCAATGTCGCAGACGATAATCTTTTGGACGCACGAACTCTTCTAAAAAAATGATATTGACCCCGTCCTGTGAAAAGCACTCATGGAGTCAGCTAGGAATGCTTAATTCAAATATGCCTTTTCCAGAAAACAGAAATTAGAGCGTTTCAAGGAGGTGATGCGCATATAGTTTTGACGATGCGAACGTATGCTAAAATTATCGCGCATATGAGCGGGGAAGGTTATAGGAGCTTGCTCCATAGGCAAGTATCCAAGTTCTCAGTACGTCTAGCTACCATCAATGTAGGGTCGCTGCTCTATATGAAGCGAATGCTGGCTGTGTATGCAAAAGACAAACTGAGAATTGGGGTGACGGAGAACGCATGCCATGATGGGCTGCAGGAGTCCATAATAGGCCATTCACCAAACACCGTTCAAATCAAAACAAACTCCCTCATCGCTATGAACATACAAGAAAGGCTACTGTGATGCGAGCTTCTTGAAAGATGAGCAAAAGATCATGTAGCTACTAGATTGGAATGTCTGATGAAGTAGAAAAGAGACTAAAAGGGAGACCGGAGCTAGGATGGATATACACAGTGAAAGCAGACTTGAATATATTTGAACCAGCAGAAGATCAATCTGTAGACCGAAAAGTATGGAGGAGATTAGTGGAGCGGCAGACTCCACCTGAGGAAATGCAAGAATAAAAAAGTCGTTCCATTTTTTATTTTTCTTTAGAGTTAAGTGAAAAAATTAGCCGCGTTTCAGAAAAACTCTACTTCACATCGAAACCTTATAAGTTAGAGTTAGGCACTGCCCTCAAGTTCCGCCTTGTGCATACTGTGCATCCAAACCATAATTTATCACTTATGTTACTTGTATATGAGATGCCCCATTCTGATGTGGTTTAATAGTTTGAAGAAAAGAAAAGCTGCTTTACTGGGCAAATAAAAAGTACGAGTTTGAAATTTCTGTGAAATAAAGATCTTTCTGCGTCCAGTCTATTTAAAAAGCAAACAAAAAAATCAACTAGAGAATTTTCATTATTTTTTCGCCTGCACTGCCTTCAAATGTCATGTCTTATTCTACTGCAGACATCTCGTTCGACACGAGCATGAGGAACAACTCAGCAGCCAAACCTTCGCTCCAAAACTTACATCCGCAAAGATATAATATATTGAAAAAATAGTTTTCATTCAGAAGAGGAGATATAGGCGCCGTAAAACCTAATTGCCCGCGCCGTTCCTTGAACACCAGCGACTGTCGGCGTTCACTATATTCCAAAAAATCTTTCTTTAACTTTCATGTTGTTATCGTCAATGCAAGGTATATCTCGACGAAAGCCCCCCCCCCCTCAAAGTTTAAGAAAATATGTGTGGAAAGGACGCGCGCTCATTGTCGCTCGAAAAAAGCCTGTAGCGCTTCGGGACCAAACGCTTCCAGCCGCGCCGCGCGTTGGTGTTTAAAGCGATGCGTGGGCAATTGGGTTTTAAGCGGCCTGTACATATCAGTGGACCATAATCTCGCAAGGGAAGGAAGGTTGGTCGAAATGGCTTTTTGAGATAAGATGTATGCTATTTGTGAAGCAAAGCTGATTCCAAATCTACTTTCCCTATCTGTTGCGGGCCTTTGGGCGAGGAGTTATGAAGATTTTTGTGAGTAAAAAGTTAAATGCCAGATTAGACATTTGTAACATTTTTTCTGAGGCTTAACTGACAATCAGATACTCGGTGCAATAATTTTGATTCAAGTATACCAACTAACTGCTGCCTCATTCAAATGTTGGGAAAAGGTCGACTGATTTTACATCAATATAACACTAAACTTTTTTAATCACAAAAACCTTCATAATTACTCACCCAGAAGCTCGCAGCAGAGAGCAAAGGTAGATTTATAATCAGCGTTCCAAGCTTTACAAGAAGTATACATTGCATCTCAAAGGCCATTTCGACCAACCTTTCTTCTCTTGCCAGTTAGATATAGGTTACATCAACCAGCAGATCATATTTTCAATAGTTCGTCCAGATGAAATAGACGTTACCAACCATCTTATATATTAGGTCGTGTAATAAGTTCTGTCCCATTTTTTGTTTTAGTTTTTTCTTGCCAACATTGACTATATTTGAGATAAGCGGCTTAATCTGAAGTTGTGTGGAGTTTGTCCGTTACGAAATTACAGTGAAGAATGATTTACGATACTAAACATCATGTGAGGTTAAGATAGCGAGTATGGTTCATTTTTAACTGCGGGTCACGTCGCAATAAAGCGAACAATGTTTGAGAGACAAGCTCTCAGAAAGTGAGTTTACCACGGCTCTCGATGCCAGTGCGAACCTCTGCGAAGCAGAGGTGAAGCACTGGTATTTGAGATAAAGTGAATGCGATTTTGAAAGCTCTAAGTCTGTTTTACAGGCTCATACCAGGCATCACCCAACATAGCAGGAAATTGAAAAAGATTTCATCATTGAGATAAAAAATCCAAAGAGCCGAAAAATCAATTTTCGACATCTTTTTTCCTCCAAATTTTTCTCGATTTTTATTGGTGAAACATATGAAACGAGCATGACAACAAGCAAAACAATCTATTAGACTTTTACACTTATTCTATCGCTGTTTGCGCATGTTCACTTCCTTCCACCGGCTACTTAATGACATTTTTTAGAAGTGCAAGGCAAGACTTCGTTACGGCGATGTTCGCCGTCTCGCGTACCCAAGCTGTGTATCTCCCAAAATTAGCATTTTGAGTATTTAACCTACGAATTCGATAATTTTGAAGCCACAAACTATCCCTTCTGTCTTTTCTGGATGATCCGCCTACCGTCTTCCTCAGGATGCTTTCAGATGATGCCCAACACCAACGTTAAAAAAGGCGTTAGAAAGAAGAATTTCTAAAGTCTACAGAAATGATTTTCGAAAAGTTTCAGCACTCCTGAAGCGCAATAGAAGTTAGAGCATTCTTTGCTCACGTGTAGCAAATTCTTCGAGCTTACTCGTAGGCAATCTGACTAATTAGGAAGGCGACGTAACGTAGTTGTCGAAAATGAACTTTTTCCCTGTTTGCTATTCCAAATTTGACGCTGTAGAACTTTTTCATGTCATTTGATGTAAAAGTTGTAATGAAAGTTTGTAATGAAAGTTTTAGTAGAGAAGGCTTAGAGCTTTCAAATGCATATAAACAGTTTACAGAACATCGCGGGAAATATTGAGAAAAAATCGAAAGAAAAAATGGGACAGAACTTATTACACAACCTAATATAAAGCTGAATGTCTGTTTGTGTGTCTGTGTGTCTGTAAGTATGTTCCAAATAGAAATTTCCATTTCTCAACCGATCCGGACCAAACTTGGCACACATACACTTCGGGCCCCGGCGGGTGTCATAGGCTACTTTTCGTCATCGATCGATGTCGATTTTATCGATTTTTTGCAAAATTTGAGCTACGGGGTGGGAGTTGGCACAGGAGGGTAATCGAGCATGCTGATTACAAATATGTTATTGACAGGGCCGGGCGGAGCCGGGTTTGCCAGCTAGTAGCTCAATAAGCTTCTATATCTTTTGAGATAATGCCAAAAAATCAACAGAAAGCAAGTGTTTGTCACCAAGTTATTTCGAAGGTTTTGTCTTCCTCCTAATCATCAGCATGTATGAAACAGCGTATGATTAAGTCACACATGAAAAGTTTTGCAATTTGCACGTAAGTTTAGACCATAATTTGGCAGAACAAGCTGCAAAGTCTACGCATAGCTTCATGGAGACGACAGTCTAAGAGTCGTTGCGAAAAGATCATTTGAAAGTATTCAGCAGTCGAATCTTGGCAGAAATTCATCATCAAAATCTGATAGGTGCATCATTCTTGTGACAAATGAGCGCAAAACTATGGCTTGCCTGACTTCGCAAAACTTACTAACAAAGGAATGATTAGGAAAGTCAACAATGGTGTGAACGAAAAACTGCAGGTTTTCGCAAATATTTGAGTTCGGTCACCAGAAAGAAGAAGATTGCCTCAAGTGCACTGTGTTGTTTCCTAGCATAAACTTTATATACTTTACACTTTTTGCTTCACGGAATTATGAAGCCAGTAAGCCAACACAGTATCACAAAAAGAATCAAAAAGTTTTGAAAGCTTCTAGTCAATTAAACAAATACCACACAAAAAATAACAGAAGGTGAAAATACATTTTCTTTCATCCTCTTCCTTCTCAGGTAACTGAACACTATAAATAGTTGAAATTGTGAGAAGATTCTAGAAAGAGTCAGTCATATATTAGAACCTGCTAAAAACACATTTCACAAGCAATCCTACGCAAGAAAATTTGCATAGGTAAAGCATGAACATAAAGCACTGCTTCCACAACCTTTAATCACAAAAAAATGAAAAGGAGGCTTTTTCTTCAATGCGTCATCACTATTTCTACCTGGACAAGTCACTGAGCTGCTATACTTGGCAATCACAGTTCAAGTTAACGGAAATGGTGTACAAAAGTCTTTCTTCAAATAAGAATTTGAGTTCTTTTAGTGGCTCCTCAATGTTCAAGGCAGCAATGTGCCAGATGCTTAGTCTGGATGCATTTATAATTTTCCGGACAGAATCTAAAAGCGATCTATTTGGAGGTAGTTACACAAGGAAAAAATCACAAATCACCTATGTGAGCAGTTCCTTCCCAATTGTGGCGCTGCACCGTACCATTCCTTTCTTGTTAAAAGTGTTCCATTTTCGCATGTTGGCTTGAGCTCCTTAGTCCATTCCTCTGAAAACAGAATTATGGTAATGGTAATGGTACAATGGCACTGCTAATTGTAAGCTTTATGCTCATTTAGCTTACCTTCATTTTTCTTATCACAACAGATTCCTGCTCCCATCGGTCCCAATGAGCAAAAGGTACCGATTGGGCAATGTTGTTTTTCCCTCGTGCAAGTGCCTCTAGGTTTTGTGTTTGCTCCACATTTTACCTCATCCGCTGTAATAAAATGAGTCTCGCAATGGGCGCTCAGATCCAGGGTTAGAGATAACCTGGAATGCATCTCATTTGGCAGGATCTATCATCGGCGAATGTGTTCTGTCCACCACCACATCCTTCGTAGAAGTACTCGTAGCATTCGTCCATTTCTTTGTCATAATACCACTGGAATATCACTGAGTGGCAAGAAAAGTTAAAGGCACCATCCACTCAAAATTTCGACGCCCACATTTTTGCTGCCGTTACAGGGCGTTTTCCTACCCCTGATTCCGAATATCAAGTCGGAAATCCGCAAAACCACGAAAACCCCCGGTTTCAGAGCCCGTATGGCGATTTCTTCGGGACGGTGATCGGTTGGACGCGCATGGATGGACGGGGCGAACTTTACGCCCACCCGAAAGGGGAAGAGCCTACGTGGCGAACCGTCACCTGAAGCGATTTTCGAAGCAATTTTCTCGCTCCGGAAGCAACCTTAGGCAGCGCGAGTTGGGCAATCATATCATACAGTTGGGGGCCCCGCAGCTGCTAGGTATCATAATCTCACCAATTCCAATCTGGGTAGACGGTGCCTTTGAAACTGGCAAGATTTCGTAGCTATGTAACATAGCCTTTTATTCGCTCAACTGAATTATGGTCCAGTTTTGTTGTTGTTGTTTTTCTTCTGCAAACAATAAAAACATACGAAGTTTTATCATAATGCAAGCCTCCTCTAGAGGCAAACACCGACCTCCATCATGTGCAGTTTGATATTGAAACGTGTTCTGACTTTTATGTTTGGCTATGCCTCCTTTCATCTCTGATAAAATGAAAATGCCTTTCTTTTAAGAAACTATCCTCATGTCGACTTTTTGGCAATTGTGAAATTCACGAAAACATTCTCAAACCTCTTTGGAATAGTGCTTGGTACGAGATGACTTCTATAATAGAAAGGCGTGAGAATAAAATGCCGACGTGCTCGCAAAGGACAAATCATCCTACGAAGGTTCTTTACTAAAAAGAGCGTTTGATTATAACTTTCTGTATCTCTGCAGCAAATTGGCAAATAAATGACGGAAATCCGCGCTTGGCCATAAGACTGCACCTCACCAGTATTGTTTACTACAAGCTGCAATACCATTCACTTTGCACTCTGCTGTGAACCTTTGTCTACTTCGTTTGCTTTCGAAAATGTTTTGCGGTTTATCATCTACCATGGACTCTCTGCCGTGTTATTCTTATGACGTAGCTGAAGGAGCTCTAACAAGGGAAGGATATTTGGTCGAAGAGGCGTTTCAATATGAGAAGTATGTTGTCGTGTAGAGCGTAGAACGCTATTCCAAAACTGTTTTCCTTATCTGCAAAGCGCTTCTGAGAGGAAAGTTATGGAAATTTTTTGAAGCAAAAATTTGAACGCGCGGCTATAATAAATATTTCAGAACTGAAAACTATGAGCTGAAATGGGGCCATGATCACTACCAGGGCGTTTCATGCAATAATTCTTCGATCTAATAAACTCATGTCAGTCATTACTCCTTTCAAGCGCCAGAAAGATCAACACATGTTTAAACCTTAGCCGAATCATTGTTTTACCAGAAAAATTTCCCAGAACTCCCAGAAAAGCTTTGCAGATAAGGAAAGCCGATTTGAAATTAGCGTTCCATGCTTTGAAAGTTATTGTACATTCCATTCACTCTGCATCTTCTTCAAACATTTGCGAACGACGAATGCGCAACGATACTAGATTATGCAGTTGAATCTCATAACATTTGTCACTCGACAGCAATGAGTGATGAAGCAAAGTAGATAGCGTTCATGAACGAAAACTTACTTTCAATCCTGACGCAGGTGCATCGCATTCAGAATCACCACGATCTAGTGGCATATCACATAAATTGATTTTATTCTTCTTCTCGTCAGGTTCTATTGGCAGCCGATATGTCAAGTAAGTTATAATGAGGATTATAGCCGCACCCGCAAGCATCTGAACTCAAAAAGATGAAACAGCGTGCTGCGATAAAGAATTAATAATTTACCGTAAGACCAAAGGCTCGCAGCATAATTGCTTTAGAAGATATAGAAGGTAGTGGATGATAATAGCGGGACATTGATGTAAAAAGGCTACCAATGAACACAGCAGTTCAAACATAGAGGAGACATGGTTGCCCCAGTAGTAAACCATAGTACATCTGTCATTTTCGTTGACCACAAATGACATCCGTTAGCTTCAAATCTTTACTTTTCTGAGTCAAACATGCGAAGGACGCGCCATTTCAGAACTTGTCAATTCTTAACATTTTTTGAAATTAACGAATTTTTTGAAAGAAAGGCGCTTATGAAATCTGTTTTTGTAAATAAAAAGTTTTGCCGCTTTGCTGGTGGAAAGTAAAACGCACTAACTTGAGCCAATATTCCAAGGCAAACATAAGAATTTGTCCAATTGGATGGCTAAGTGAAGGAGTCTCAAATGACTGATGCTGAGTCTTAATGAATGATACTAGTAAAATTATCCATATCTCTATATATATAAAACTCAAAAATTGTCCGTTTGGAGGGTATGTGAGTGAAACGCGCGCCGCTCAACCGATTGGGCTAAAAGTTTGTACACAGACGTTTTCGACCCCCGGAGACGGTTTTAGGCTACTTTTTGCGGCGATTCACTGGGTCCTTCTATCGATTTATTGATTTGTTTACGTTTTTCTAAGGAATTCAAGAGTTATCATTTTTAATCAAGCATTTTGCCATAGTCATGTAAAAGAGGGCGGTGAAGCTCATTTTCACCTCAGGATTACAGGATGCGGTTTCGAAACGGATGTTCCAGGGTAAGTTATCCATAACATATAAAAGGGGGGGGGGTTGGCTTGCAGTGCAGGAAAACAATGGCCTGGTCTGGACCGGGAAAGCCAACTAGTATATATATATAAAACTTAGAGTTTGTGCAACTCTTGACCGTATGTTTTTTATAGACTCCTTTGCGTGTGAACCGATTGAGCTGAAATTTTGCACATATATTTCGATACCGCTTGCACATTTTGGTGTAAACAACAGCAGAGAAGCTCATTCTCATTTTGCGCTCAGAAGGATGCGGTAATTCCAGATGCTGCTTTGAGGTAGGCATTTGCAATTTAAACGCACCGTGCAGGTGGATATAGGCTGCGGGACCGAAGAAGGAAAGGAGGGGGGGAGGGAGGGCAGAAATGCAGCAGGTGGAAGCGGGATGAAAGATGGAAAGGCGTAGGTTTTGAAACAAAACACATCTTTTATGCGCTCCCCTTCCTTCCTCTAGCTCCGTGGCTCATGAACCGGGTAAGACCGGGTATGCCAGCTAGTAAACAATAAATCTTCCATGCTTACCCCAAAGAGCCTCTTACAATGGGAGGATATTTGGTGACCGGGGCCTTTTGCTTTTAAAATGAAATGTCTACCATTGAATGCATCTTGAAGAGCAGATAGCAGATCAGATTTAAATCGCACTCGGTATCTGCTGCGCTCTATTCCGAAAGAATCTATAATTTTTTGCCATCAAAATTAACACTGTTTTGTTGACAGGATTCACCAATATGGTTAGAATGTTCGCTTACGCACTACAAAGGAGTGTTCAAACGAATAAAGCTTTACGTCAAACTTACGAAAACTGTCTCTGATATATCAGAGTCCAAAAAGCGTGGATACTAACGATTCTGACAGCAAAGATCTTTTGAAATTGTTATGAAAAAATTCCGTAACTTCGTTCAGAAAGTCGCACAGCAGATAATAAAGCTAGATTTGTAATCAGCGTTTGAGACGCATTTACTGTTATACACACTGCAAAAAGCCTTGTTCACCAAGTTATATTCCTTGTTTGCGACAAATGATCCCACTTTATCACTTGCATTGATGAATATCTACGACTGTTACCTATAGTCATATTATAGCTAGGAAATTAGTCCATGATGAGTTGTCTGCAGTACGATGGGTCGCGTTACACAGCCTGTATACAACAAAGCATATTTGGTACTCTGACGTAAATCTTGAACCTGATTTCAAACACTTCTTCAAAGGCATCGTCCACGCATCTCGACCTCCATGTTTTGGTTGTTCCAAGACCACCTCATGTCCCTGATTTCGAATATGCAGTCGAGAATTCGCGAAAACCCCAACAATCTCGGTTCCGGAGACGATAATTGGCTGCGCGAGCAGGGGTGGGCGGGCAACACTGGAGGGGCAATGCTGACTCGGGGTCCTCACGCCTCTTCGTTATTCCAAGGCGACTTTTTCGCTCCGAAGCAGGGTCAAGCGTGTTGATGCGTCCGGGACCCTCATTTACGACTCCCCCCCCCCCCTTGAAGTACCTATCCGTACACCCCCCTAACCCCCCCCCCTCCACCCTCCTTCATCTATCCCCCTTACCTCCCCTGCCCACATTCCTCGCGGTAACCTGCATAAACGAATGTCAATCTCAAAAAACACCTGCGTGAGAACTTCAGTGAGGTTTCGGAAGCAGAGTTTTTAGACCAATGGGTGCGCTTAGCATCTGTAGCAAACATACACACCTTCAATAATGTTTGAGATTCTGCGTGTTTTTTTGAATTTTCAGGCATACTTCAGACTAGCAAATTTGACTCCCGTGTGCGACACAAATTTTTGCACGGAGAAAAAAGTGACATTCTTGAACTACAAAAGATGTTTTCGATTGAGAAGCTTACTTCCTACCTCTTCCACAGTTTCTTCTGCGGCAAAACCCGTTTCAGCGCCATCCAGAACGATGTCAAAATCGTGCATGAGCACGTTACTTTGAAAATTTGTAACTAAAGTCAGAGGAAGGCTGAGAAGCTGTAATGAACAGGTCTTGTAGTATAGTGTCCAGGCAATTGAAGGTAAATGTTGCAGCCACCCAGGAGCAGTAAGCTCGAAAAAATTTAGATGCGACTCTAGCAAATTTAGATGCGATCCTAGAAGCCAAATTTTTAAGCTCAAAATCCCTTAACTTATTGGAGACGCAAAAAAACAGCTCGAAATTTTTAGGAAAGAAAATAGGACGATGACGTCGTAACACAGCAAAATTGAAGCAAACAGGTCTCTATAGCGGCGAAAAAATTTAGATGCGACCCAGATACGACCCCCTTTTTTATTTTTTGTTGCCATATATAAAATTCCAAAAAATCCACAGGCTATGAAATATAACTAGATTTTGCAAAACTGTATCAGAGCATCTCCAAAGTATAAGTAAATCGTATGGGCTCTTAAAAAGATAAAAACTTTTAAAAATTATCGACGGTCATTGCTGGTAGAGATGAGCGCTTTTGTGAGTGTGTGTGAGACTTCAGTGGTGCTTCGAAACCAGGATTTCCAGGCCAATTGGTACATTTAACATTCTTGTCACACATACATGCCTAGTGTTTGAGCCTGAGAGTGACTTTTGAATCTTCGGTCATACCTGTAAACAGCAAGTTCGATCCCGTCTGCGACACCTTTTTTGCAAAGAGAAAAATGCTGTTTTGAAGAGTAGAGGATGTTTGCGACTGAGAAGCTTATTTCACACGTTTTAGACATTGGCCCATAGTAAAGCTAATTCAGTTCAGGTGAACTGAACCACAGGTGCGATAGTGTGAGACTTTTCTCACCCCCTCTTCACCCCTGAGCGGGGGCCAAGGTGACCCCCTTCACCAAAGCCGAGAAAAAAATCAACCGTGATGTAAGGTTAAGCAAAGGAGATATACGTGAATTGTTAGTGTATAGGAAAGGAGGAGTCTTTTGAAAAAAGTGCTAGGTGACGGGTGTGAGAAGTGATTGCTGGAGATTTTCGGGTTTTTACATAAAAAAGTTCATTACTTTTGTAGATGAACATCTTTTACGGCGAGATGGTCACCATTAAAATCGCCTCGCTCTCCGCTCTCAGATAATATACAGCATGTTTGAGATCCGTTCAAAAAAGTGCCTGGTGAAAGATGTGCCTAGTGATTTCTGGGAATTTTCGAGTTTTCAGGATAAAAAATCCGTGATTACTGCAGATGAACAGCTGGTGCAAGGAAACAGCAACCATCGGAACTGCCTCGTCCTCCGCTTTCAAAAAATATATAGCATGTCTGAGATCCTTTCAAAAAAGTGCCTGGGTGAAGGGTGTGCTTGGTGATTTTTGAAGATACTCGATTTTTTATCATAAAAAAATTCATAACTTTTTAGATGAACATCTTGTACGCCGCGATGGTCACCGCTGGAATTATCTCGTCCTCTGCTTTCAGAAAATATATACTTTGCCAGGTGTCCGTTAGAAAATGCCGGGTGAAGGGTGGGTGAGACTTTTATAATGGGAGTGCTCAAGTAGCCTTTTTACAATGGTAAAAAAGCCTGTATTTGAGCACTCCCATTATAAAAGTCTCACCCACCCTTCACCCGGCATTTTCTAACGGACACCTGGCAAAGTATATATTTTCTGAAAGCAGAGGACGAGATAATTCCAGCGGTGACCATCGCGGCGTACAAGATGTTCATCTAAAAAGTAACGAATTTTTTTTATGATGAAAAATCGAGTATCTTCAATAATCACCAAGCACACCCTTCACCCAGGCACTTTTTTGAAAGGATCTCAGACATGCTATATATTTTTTGAAAGCGGAGGACGAGGCGGTTCCGATGGTTACTATTTCCTTGCACCAGCTGTTCATCTGCAATGGTCACGGATTTTTTATCCTGAAAACTCAAAATTTCCCAGAAATCACTAGGCACATCCTGCACCAGGCACTTTTTTTAACGGATCTCAAGCATGCTGTATATTTTCTGAGAGCGGAGAACAAGGTGGTTTTAACGGTTACCATATCGCGTGAAAGATATTCATCTAAAAAAGTTATGAATTTTTTTTAAGTCAAAAACTTGAAAATCTCCAGAAATCACTAGGACACCCTTCACCCAGGCACTTTTTTTGACGGACACCAGGCAACGTATGTACTTGCTGAAAGCAGAAAACGAGGCGGTTTCAATGGTAGCCATACCGGCGTAAATTATGTTCATCTTCAGAAGTTACGGGTTTTTCTATCCTAGAAACTCGAAAATATCCAGAAATCACTACCCACACTCTTCACCAGGCACTTTTTCAACAGATTCCAGGCAAACTATATATTCTCTCGGAAGACAAGATGGTTTCAAAAATATTCACCTTGCTGACGTTGCTGTTCATCTACAGAAATTACGAATTTCTTTGAAAAAAATTCGCAAATGCTTAAAAATTGTCTAACTCTTTCCGAAACAAATATTCGCATGCCCATCAACTATGGTAATTCCAAAACCAGGCAGGGCGATTCAAAAAAGGGAAAAGGAAATGTAAAAGGATACAAGGTGCTGGTCAGAAATATAATTGTATGCTGATCCAACAGCGTATCACTTCACATTTCAGAAAAAAGACAAACAGTGATGGTAAGGAATTGGAAATTATGAACTTTGACTGGGAAAAATGATGGCTCTCCCCCCCCCCCCCCGTCGACATTTTACGATCTCTTTACCAAGTAAAACACCCTTCACCCTGGAGGAGTCATTCTCACCTTATCGCACCTGTGAACTGAACTGAGGTCCTCATCCAAGATTCGGTAAGGTAGACTGCCTATCACCAGCATCCCATGTAGTAAGAATGCAACACGAAATATCAGCTGACCGTCCGTCTACCTAACGAGGTAGTCTACCTTACTTCAGTCAGTCCACATTCAGTTAGACTACCAGTTGGTTTGAATAGTGTGTCAATGATGGTACGCACAGAAACTTCTCGTAAGTTACTCCTGAGTAACTTACGATACACGCTAGTTTAACATGTCGGTGAGGAGCCGCAGTGATGCTGAGGAGACTTAACAAGATCTAACAAGTGCGGCCACATCCCCGCCGCTAGTGTCAATGACGTAGATGTGAATGTTTGGCAAACTCGTCTTGACTCGTATACTTGCATAGACGTGGCGCTCTCAATCTTATCATCGTGGGTGGTTGGCAATATCAATCAATGGCACGACTGAAGGCAAGCTGACTCGTCGAAGCCTCAACTGGAATTTTATTCAGCTGAGATCGAATGAAGCAGCTTTACTACGGGCCATTTTCTTATTTGGACCTCCCTCTTTTACGACCCCCCCCCCTCCGGTGCCCCCTTTACGACCCCCCCCCTCCCGTTGCGACATTCGCATCACATGCTTGACCCTGCTCCGAAGCGACATTTTGTGCCGCGATTTGGGCATTGGCTTGACAAGGGGTCCTACTATCGTAAGCTGCAAAAGCCCAAGACCCCTAACTTAGGGTGGACGGTGCCTTCAACATTCCTCTTTCACAATATGCATTTTTCCCCTTTAGCTCTTTCCGCATACCTTTTTCGTGCAATTGTTGGTTTTTGTTTTCTCTATAATATAGACATTGCCAGAGATTACTTTTTCACTGTGGCGATTCATTTATTCAAAAACTGCAAAAGGTGCTTTTTTTCATAGATTCTTGAAGTAAGTATGCAAGCATTTTTTTTCACCTTTGGAAGGTTTTGTTCCGGCCATCAAAAATTTACGTTGAGTTTGAGCTTGACATGCATTTTGACTGAATAACTTAACTTTTTTACAGAGGATTTTCTGTTTATCTTTTCTTGGCAATCGCCATTTTCAAAACTGAATGAAAACTTGCAATTCGAAATACCGCCAAAAGATGAACTTCAAGTTTGTTGCACCGTTTTTATATAGTTTTAACCTTGGTTTTCGCTTTTTATCCAGTTTACATTTCTTTTTCTTCTTCACTCCCAAATAATGTTCGCTCTGGTGAACAGGGTTTCAAAACTTCACTTTTGAGGCTCTGTTTTTCGACAATCGAATATGATTTACAGCCGTAGAACTGCAATCTGAGAAACTTTTGTGAAGACGCTTCATACTCTAGCAGTACTTTGTCGTGATAGAATGCCGCCAAGTCTGGTTATGCATATAATGTTTATTCATTCCATATTCGACGGTTTCAAAATTTTTTCTCATTATCAGTTAAAATTTATCACCGGTTTTCTAGGGTCCACCGCAACAGTGCGCCAAACGTTTGCTCTGGATGCATTGGTAATCTTTCGGGCAGAATCTAAAAATGCATAGTTCATTCGTAGTCTACCATAAAAATAAGCACAAAGTACTTGTGTGAACAGCTTCTTCCCAAAAGTATTGCATCACCATACCACTCCTTCTTCATAGCAAGTTTTCCAGTTTTGCATACCGGATGTCTTTCTTTCTCCCATTCTTCTGAGAATGGAGGAAGCATAGTAAAGCGCTCTTAACTCTTTGCTCATTGTAATAAAAAGATAATTTCATACCCTCATTTTTGGTATCACAGCAGATTCCCGCTCCTTGCGTTCCCACATCGCACTTGCTACCAGCTGGGCATTTTCTGTTTTCTCTCGTGCACGTGCCGGTGGTCGGTGCATTTCCCCCACATTGCTGCTTGTCAGCTTAATGAATTTTTTCTAAAAGATATTAGTGCTTGAAGATTGCTTTCAAATAATTGTGATGAAACGCCTTTTGCGGTTGTTGGTTACCCACAAACGGAAGTCTCAAAATAGCCTGAAACGTAATTAAAACACTAGATTGCACGCAAGACCTGACCTTTCTTCCAGGAGTCAAAAATTATAATAAAGTCACCCATCATTCTTGCTTCTTGAGAGGAAAACCTGTCCAAGCAGGGCCAAACCTTTCTTAACTAAATTGGCACTTGCGACGTCTCCAAAAATGATTTGAGGAGGATGGGAGTGCTCGTGAGATGATTTATGTGAGAATAGCGACGGGTATTTTAGCTTGTCAGAAGAAGGGCTGGAACAACTTGTTGAGTTGTTGCGCGTAGTAACTTGACTCTCCTCCAAGTTTTTGTTATCCGGTTGATATACATAAACTAGCTCGTATATCTGCTTCGCCCGGCCCTGCCAAATGGTATGATAGAGACGTCCCTGTACTTGTACAATCCTGGTCCTGTGTCCACTTTTACATGCCATTCCCTGTACCTGCTTTCTATTCGTAACCAGCATGCCCACTTACCGCCCAGCTCCCCCCCCCCCTCCGTGCCAGCAACCCCGTAAGCCGAACTTCGAGAAAACGGTAAAATCGGAACCAATGATGACCAAAAGTAGCCTACGGCACCTGCTTCGCCCCAATTTCAATGTGCAAAAATTTTGGCCCGCATCGGCTCAGGAATAAAATTTTCTATTCGAAACACACACACACACACACACACACACACAACATACACAATACACACACTTTTGGGGGTGATGCAGGAGGAACCAAAGGGCTGCCGCCTGTATCCGCAGGAGATAATTAAGAGCGCGAGTGCTGTGGAGAATTGGCAGGGATGTAAGAAAACTCGGCAAGAACATCCTTTAGGAAGAAATCTTCATAACTTCGCCTGGAGATAACTTTGAAAAATTTAAAAAACAGATTTGTAATGCATATTGGAAGGCGCATTCACTGGACCTAAAAGTAAATGTAGTGGAATTGTAGTGGTAACAAAAGTCAACTACCTTATAAAATTTTTTGTTTTGGATTTTGAAGTTGCAAGTTGTTGAAGTCCGGGGTTTTCATTCAAAATTCATTCTTTCTTCTTCGAGATAAAGAATTATTTTGCCTTTTGATTTAATGAAAAGCAATTAAAATGTCATAAGAACAACCTGTCAAGATACAATATGCAGTTTGTCTCATAGCTTCAAACCCATTCTATTAGGTTGGCCCGAAAGTTCTGTCGCACCATTTTCAAAAATTCATAACTTCTGTTTCCGGCCGAATTGGATCGCGCTTATTTTTATATGAAAGAGCAGTCATGCTCTTTATAATGGCCTCTTAAATGCTTGCTAATGTTCATCTGTTGCATAGATAGGAGCGATAGAATAAAATTAGTCAAGATTCGAATTTTCTGTGTAGGGTTATAAAAAATCGAAAACTTGCAACAAAAAGTGGAGCAGTCGTTATTGTAAGTTCTTTCACCAGCTCTTTCTAACAGTGCAAAGTTTGCGCTGATTGAGCGTCTCTATGAAAAGTTACGATTTACCTGAAAAATGCCAAAATAAATCAAATTCGCCCTTTTGTATTGCTTGCTCGAAAATCGTAACTTTTCATAGAGACGCTCAATCAGCGCAAACTTTGCACTGCTAGAAAGAGTTGATGGAAGAACTTACAATACCGAATGCTCCGATTTTTGTTGCAAGTTCCGATTTTTTATGACTCTACATAGAAAAATCGATTTTTGAATAATTTTCTTCTACCGCTCCTATCTATGCAACGGTTGGCCATTAGTAAGCAGCTAAGATGTCATTATAAAAAGTATGACTTACATTTCTATACAAAAATAGAAGCATTCAAATCGGTTGGAGAAATCAGAAGTTATGAATTTTTGAAAATGGTGAAAAATGGTGAAAAATGGCGACAGAACTTTCGGGCCAACACAATAATTTTGAATTTTGACATTAGAGACTTCAAAAGATTTTGCCGTTGAAACTATGTCGGTAATCATTTAGGTCGTACATAGTAGCAAAAGTTCATCACATGCAAATTAGTTAACATTATTTCCTTATTTCCATTTCATAGTTTCAACATCGTATCCAGAAATTTCACTAAAATTCGGTTGAAATTTTCACCCAACATTGAGCTTGAAATTTTAGCTTAGAATGATGAATTTTGCACAGCTTTTGGTAAAAATCGTTGCGAGACAGAGTTGTTCAACCATCCGGTAAGCGTATTATTGAAAAATGCGCATTTCAATACTGATTCCAAATCTGTCCTTCGTGTCCTTGAAACTTGATTCCAAAGAGAGTTTTAAGGGTTTGTTTTCAATGGATGTCCTCTCCAAATTTTCCTGGATCCTTGCCAAAATCTTCTCCACAACGCTGGCCCTCCTAATTATCTCCTATGACTATAGGCGGCAGGCCATTGGTTCCTCCTGCACCGCAAATTAAGTTTTTACACTCCGAGGCTCAGATTTTGCACAAACAGAGGCTTTTTTCTCATATTCGCCATAATAAGCTAGACGTGTATTCTTCTCCAAAGTTCCGCCTCAAACCTCTCCTAACGATATCCCCTTCGATTCTACCAAGAAAACGATATACAGGGTGTCCCAAAAAATGTGCACACTGTTTGATCGTTGATAACTCTCTTGCTTTCATGTCTTTTGCCGAACTTTAGCCGCCATTCTGCAGACCGAGGTTCAACTTAGATTTATAGCACGGAACAAATTTCCGATCTTTCATAGTTAGTGTAGGATTACGGTAGAAACTTCGAGGAGAATTTTAAGCCATTGAAGGCGTGTTTTGCCGGTTTTGTCTCAGAGAGGAAACCAAATAAGCCAAAAACTTTTACTGACTAGTCGAAGTCGTTGACTCTAAATATGAAGTTTGCACTTCAGTATAGTGATTCCTTAATAAGTTATTTCAGATTTAGGATAACAACTGTTTTTCCGGTGTTCGTCAGAAATGTGAATACGCCATCAAAAAAGCTCGAAAAACTGGCAGAAAGTTATGTAATGAAATCAGCACGCTTGGAAATCCTGCCATACAAATTTTCAGATTTTATGAAATTATTTCGTCAAAAAGCATATGCCACAGTGAAGCTGTATGCTGAAAGTTCATACCGTAATCCTACAGCAATAAAGAGCGATTAGTATTTCGCTCTATACTGATCTAAGTTAGACCTCGTTCTACAGAATGGTACTTTGAGCTTGGCAAATGACATGAAAGAAAGAGAGTTGTTAACGATCAAACAGTGTGCACATCTTTTTGGGACACTCTGTATAGCGTGACCTGTAAGGCTCCCGCCAGAGTGCCGAAGTTATGCCAGCGCTACGCCAGCATTTCGATCGACACACGTGTATTTCGTTGGGGACGTCAGCTAGCCCCGCCCTAACGAAATACACGTGTATCGATCGAAATGCTGGCGTAGCGCTGGCATAACTTCGGCACTCTGGCGGGAGCCTAAGCCACCTGTGCCAAGCCCTGTTTGTAGTGACTGCAGAGGTAGGAAAACAATTACTAGAGCTTCTTTGATTGAAACGGGTGCAAAACTGCGAAACAATCCGATTATATTTTGTAAGCCCATTTTCTTTCATTGAGTTTGTGCTCATAGAGCAGATAAAAAGTCATGATTTTTAAAAGTCAGAAAAATCAGTGTTGCTGTTTTCTCGTATCTCCACAAGACTCTAATTACAAAAAATGTCGTATCAAAACATCGAAAATCACTTTCAATAACGTTCCAATTTTTCCACAACCTTCAATTTTAGAAAACTTGGTTCTTCCTGCCTTTTTCTCTAGGATATATGTCAGGGAGCCACCAAGAAACCAAAAAGTTGCTTGCTAATGAATAAATCCCAAATTTTATCGTAATTTCTCTTTTTTTTTTGTTTCTTTCACAAATATATTGTCCATTCGAACTGATTATGAAGCAAAAAGGGAAACCTTCGCTTTGACCTGTTGTTAGAATATTCGTTTTTCGTTTAGCGTCATATATGGCACAACAGTGTATGGATAAGTGAATAAATAATTGAATAGGCAATATATTCTGCATATCGGCGCGTATCAATCAATGCGTCGGGATTTAAAATCACCTGGTATGCATGTTGTGCGGCAAGAATTATAATCGTGGAACGTGTTTTGTCCACCACCACATCCTTCATAGAAGTATTCAAAGCAGTCGTCCATTTCTTTGTCGTAGTAGAACTGAAATGAATGAACTTCAATAACGTAGGTTTCTACATTTCTTTGATTGTAAAGATGTAGGTTCCAAAATTGCAAATTTCTCTTTTCCAGGAATTGAAACGCCACCCTCACACAAACTTAATTGTTTTTACTGCATTTAGTTGCACTTGAGGCCTCACTTCATACTTCGCGCTGACCGCAAAGTGCACGAACGGCGCAAATAAATATGACACCATGAATTTACTGTCAGTCCTGGGACGGCACACATTTGCATATGTGGTCGGGTAGACTCATTTTCGTGCTTCCTTGCAACGTACGTCCCCCATCAATGAGGGTCTTCAATTTTCATGGGAAAGGGGGAGGGAAGTTCTGTAGAGCAAGTCAAATAGAATCCAAAAATTTCATCAAATTATGTCACACGGCGATCTTGTACGAAAATTCCCTTTTTGAAGAGGCATTTTTATTGTCAAATCGTGTGTCAGAATTCTAGACTTGAAACGTAAAATTTTCTCTTTATTTGAAGCTACCATTTGATTCCGAGATTGGCGGGTAGAGGGCGGAGCTTCGAGGCCTAATCAAGGCGAGACAATGATCAGAGAGCACGCTCGCGAGACAGACGCAGAGTGCGTCGCGCGGGGCGAGCGCGGTCGCCTTCCAGCCGCCAACCCCGTTGAATCAAAAGGTGAAAGTTTGTTAACACCAAGCCAAGAATATCAATTTGTCATGCACGTTTCTTATCCCCACGTCCAGTTTTTCAGAATGTTTTCAGAGGAAAGCATTTTGAGCCCCACCCCTCCCAGCGTAAGCACTTGGAAGCATATTCTTTCTAAAATTTAAGAGTCATAAAGATGAACACCTACTCTTGTACCCGGCGCTGCTCCGTTACAGCTTGAAGTTCCACGATCCAAGACCGCTTCACATGAATCGTACGTTCTGTCGGGTTCTCTTGGTTGTGTATAGGCCAAAGAGACTAATACGAGGATAATAAATGTGCCGGTAAGCATCTGGAATTATCAAGACATTTTCAAAAAAAAACTGTGTTGAAAGAAATAACCAAAAGAATTTACTATGATGGTAACTGTCCATAATGTATTCATCTTGGAAGACTTGGACAGTGGACGATACCGTAAATAGGTCATTTACCAAGTTTCTTCCTAGGTAAGTTAGGGGAGCGAAACATTACCCAAAATCGCTTTTTAATATGCAGAAGAGGCGGAATCGCTCCAAATTTTGAACTATAGTGCTTATCGCCGTTTTCCATTGATTATGTTAAGTACTGTTCGACTTGATTTTTTACTTAATCTCCATCCGTTGCAGTTTTTTCCAAAAAAGTTTTGTGGAGTATATGATTACCGATATTTCACCACCAAGGTTATCCAAATATTGAAGACTCATTGCTATTACGATGTTGGTGGAAGATACATGAAAAGAGAGAGATACAGCTGTTCACATAGCTGTAACAGTGCAATGTTCATATGTTTCGAAATCGTTTATTGCCAATGTTTTCATAAGATATCGAAAGAAGCTTTTCGCGAAAGATCGATTCTTACACGCAGCGAAAATCTGCTCGATTCTTCTTCTCTCTACTTGTCCGATTGAATCTTTCCTATACAAATTGCTATATTACAAGTTTAAAAGAGATAGGAATCAAGAAGAAAATTGTCTTTTTTCTATAGCAAAATTCTTAACATCATTTGAATGAGAGTCAGCAGCATTCTATCCGCCTCACTTTCTCAACTCAAAATAATACGGAAAAAATCAGGAATATACAAAGTGTTGAAAAAAACAGAAAAATACATCTTTCTAAGTCAAATGGTTTGAAAGGCAGCATTTGAAATTTGAAGCAGTTGTTTCCCTCAGATTGTATGAAAAATTTTCCTAGTCCCTTTGTCACCATAGCATTAGTTCACTCAAATAAGAACAAAAAGGCGCAGATAAACGGATTTTCAATTTCTGAGTGACTGGTATCGAGAAGAAAGACGAATGTACAATGGTAAAGCGTCCACTTTGCCTGTTACAATGAGTTTTGCTAGCATCAGCCAGCGGGAAGACGAAAAAGCTGGTGGAACTGCGTAAAGATGTCTAGCTTGCACTTTCCAAGGAAGCATAACAAAGAGATTTTCTTTTATAAAGAAAAGTGCTATTCAACACATACATATTCACATTGTCTCTATGTCATAGGTCAGACTGTTTGAAAATTGAAAATATACTCTTCTGATAGTCAAATTGTAAGTCTAAAGGCAAAGGAAGTATAGTAAAATGTGAAAGTCAAATGCTGTATTTTTGATGAAAACTATAAATACTGAAAAAGTACCCATGCTGGTAAAATATGTGTTCTATCTTTTTTCCGTGGCAGTCTTTCGAATCGAGAATCTAAGTGGTTCGTCTGAAGTGGGCGGAGCACATTATAGTATTGTCGGTAGGATCCGCGGGAGCGGACAACTGGTACGCACAGTAATTTGAATGCACGGTTTGTGAAAAATGCCCATGGTTGGTACACCTACGAGCAACCTAGTTTTTCTAACCCCTTGTAGATCAAAGCTATCCATCAACTAGACGTTCTCCCCTACTTAGGTATTTCAACTACAGTTACTTCTCCGATACAACGTTATTTACATGGTTAACATAGAAGAAAATTTGGTGAAAGTCATAAAAAGGAAAATCATCGCTGGAAGGAACTTGAGGAGAAATCAAAATGTTGCAAGACTGATCAGCAGGTTGCGTGCACGCCTATTTATCTAAGGCTGGCAAATAATCTATTGTTACTCGTCAAGAACCTCTCGATACACTTGAGAGGTTACGTGAGTCAGCTACAAATCCGGTTATGTGCACGTACGGATGCAATGCTGGCCAGACGATATGTGAAGAAGTTTTAGGAAAAAACTTTTCCGGCAATAATCGGCTTTGCTCCTTGGTTTTCAAGTAGTGAGTATGTACAATATGGTTTTGAGTACTTCTATTTTTACTTTGTTCTTTTGTTGCAATTCTTATAGCTTGCAGCAGGCAAGTAAAACATTGCGCAGTAATTTTGACCTTACGGCTCTTTTCTCTCCGTCGTACCTTTTGAAATCAAGCAGTTGATAATTTTAAGGCAGTAGGTCGGCAGAATGAGACCCGTGGCAAAACAAGGTCACAGGGTGGGAGCCCCCATAATGGAACCTACGGGCCAAAGTTCGATCTTTCTCTGCCACTTCTAACCCTCGAAATTTCAAAGCGAAAGCAGCGCTCATCTCCTGTCCCCTTCGAACCCGCCCACCCCATGGACGAGTGACTTCCGCGGTCAGAGCGCCAGCCGCAATGCTATAAGCATGAGGTCCCTCAACGACTCTGCGTCTTCGCCATGGTGGGCTTCGCGTTCACTCGTCCATGAGGTGGGCGGGTTCGAAGGGGACAGGAGATTTCGCTTTGAAATTTTGGGGGTTAGAAGTGGCAGAGAAAGATCGAACTTTGGCCCATAGGTCCATTATGGGGCTCCTACCCTGTGACCTTGCCTTGCCACGGGTCTCATTCTGCCGACCCACTGCCTTTGAACTACAATACCGTTCATTTTGAAAAAACGATGCAAAATCGCCCGATTCATGTGACATCACCGCAGCGTGGCCATATCTCTCTTCAGAGTAGACGAATTCTCAATTCAAGGGCACCGCTCGACTCAGCTCAGCGCGGCGAATCTTCTGATATATAGAATTGTTTGTTTGGACACAGTAGAAGATCAGATTCCACGAAACGTTTCAGGTTTTTGATTAAAGGCAGTGTCGTGGCAGGTTTGGCATTTCCATCTTTTTACAGGTTTGGGCCTTTTCAATCCGTAGACTCCGAATTTAATCTTTGAAACGGTTGAAAAAATCTTTTTCGGGGCGTTTACCCAATTTCCAAAGGTAAGCTCGGACGAGAATTTCAATGGAAAGTTAGGAGGCCCCGGCGCGAAGACCCTGCCGTCTGTAATTTTTGCTTTGAATAGCATGCACAAAGCGGAGGGCGGTAGTGGGACCCGCGGGGCGGTAGTGGGGTCCCGCTCCGAACAGGTAAGAAAAGTCGCCCGAGCGCGCTGCACTCACTCTGGAATCTGACCTACTGTGTTCAAGCAGGCACTCCTATATATCAGAAGATTTGCCTTGCCAAGCTGAGTCGAATAGTGCCCTTGGAATAAGAACTTCCACTCTAAAGCGAGATATGGCCACGCTGCGTTGATGTCATATGAGTCAATCAACTTTGCATCGCTTTTTCAAAAATACGAGCGGTATAGTATATTTACATACGCGCTAACAAAGATTTCTCATTTGATTTTAAGTAGGTGACTCTATATCTGTAAGGTGAAAGACGTCATGTCGCGATAGGATCCCTCTCCACTCCTTCAAGTGCGGCATCTGCCACAAAGCATACATCTTGTCGCATTATTGCTTAGAACAGTTGCACCGAGTCCATGCAATACGACTTCTACTCGCACTTTCCTAGTATGCTGAGGGATGCCTTTCAGCTGATTCTCAGCTGTTTTTTGTGATGATTACGGTATGATTGAAGAAAGCTGCCAAAAAAGAATTTAATAATAACTAATCAAAATTTGAGCACACGAGTGAAAATAACATCTGATAAGCTTTATTAAGGGGGAAAATCATTGAAGATAAGAAGTATGATAATTTTTCTGTAAACTATGAAAGTCAAATGAAGCGTCGACAGCCCCTTGCTTAGCCCATTCACGGCAGTACGACCCACCGGTGGGTCGTACGTGTTCTGTCATTTCGGACAGTACGACCCAGCGGTGGGTCAAATGCTTTCTGAAGTCTTTAATTTTGTTAGTTTACAACGAAACTTTTTGGCTCCTGTATATATTTCTGGGAATACCTCCCCAAAGATTGACAATTGACCATAGGGCTCATCAGTGGCCATGAAATTTTATGCAAATTCAATATTGCGAAATATGACCTGCTCCGAAATGACATCGAAAAAATGGCTTTGGTGAATGAAATCTTTAACGTAGGATTTCTAAAAATTGTGATTTTTATTCTCAAATTTAACCGTCAGAGAAGATCAGAGCAATAAATGAGCAATCCAGATGATGAAAGCCTAAACCTATGAAAGATTCGTAGGTGTATCTTCGTGTTTTGTGGGCGCTCACGTCATTAGTTCAGAAAAAAACTGCTTTGTGCGCAAATAATGGGAGATTTTTTGATATTTGAACAGGATACAGTCATAAGCTCACATTGCTTACATTGCAGGAAGACACAGGAAAGCTGACGTTCGGGAAGCGATTGTGGTTGAGCTGTTAAATACACGTAGACAGTTGTTCAGTGCAATGTAATTTCTTTGCTGGCTGGAGAGTCTGCTGTTGATTTATAAGTTTTTCGAATCTTGCAGAGAAAACTTGCACAGGGCGTTGTCCAAAAAGCAAGGTCAGGAAGTTTTTAATCACCAATTTCAGCGCATTTTTGCACATATAGTCTGTGTCAATCGCATCAAATCCATCCGCGCCATCGCCGCGCCAAAGCTATGCGTCACCTTTGCGTCGCGTATGGCTCGCGCATTCATATTGCCATCATCAATTGGAAATCCACAAGCAACTCCTTCGCGTTGCGGGTGCGTAGTTCCTACGTAGGAGGGTACATAATTGACGCAGACCTCAAAGGACACCCAACAGAGCTAATTATTATCACTGAGACTCTGAATAAGTTTATAACAATGATTCGCAAATGACGCGGCTGCCGCTTCGCATGCCTGCGAGTCGCGTCGTTAAACCCTCATCCAGAAAACTTATTGCTTCATAGATATTTAGAAACATCGTAGTGAAAAGATAATTGATTGTTGATAAAAAGACATTGAATAGTAGAAATTTTGAAATAAGATCCATCAAAACTACGGCAAATCGGCGGTGAGGTTCCGACGCATGTGAGTCGTAATGTTTGACCAGGGTCGGAAATTTGATCTTAACTCATAAAATTACCCCATTTTATATCATATCGAGACATGGAACCAAAATGCGCACTTTGGATTTGCTTAATAGTGAGGA